TGCATGACCTTAAATAGAGCCCTCCCATCTGGTTTTCTTCCAGAAGTGTCTCAATTGCTTCTATCATTAAGAACACAATACTGCTCTTTCTTGGGCTTTCCAACGAATATAGTTATGTTCCTGGGAAAATATGGAGAGAAAGAGCTGAGACCAGTCAAATGAGATGAATAGGAGAAAGGACTGTGAGCCTTAGGAAATGCTGGAGGATTATGTACAGTGTATAAATAGCATAAGATTCTCTAGGAACATTACACAACAAACAGACAATTACATTGCTGAACTGCTGATTAAGACACATGGTACAGGTTCCCGAACAATGCTATTACTCAGACCAAAAACTCTAATCTATTTCTCATTTTCCTTCCATCAGTGTGACTCTAGAATAATTCCATTTAAGTCATTAGGGTTTTACACGCTGGAGCTGGCAATTAGGCTGGGAAGAGGTTTTGGACAGTGACTATGTACGCTTTGTTCTGTGCCAGTAGGACTTTTCAGAAATTAACACTTCAAAGGCTAAGCGTCAGATTCTGATGGGGGTTAGAACAAAATGGGTCTGACACCACACAACTAGATCAGCAGACTACTTACTACAGATTTACACCTACACGGATGAGGGCAAAAATTAGACTGCTACAGCATCTTATTCAAAGATAGTGCCCCATCTATGTTTTTGCTTCATATTTATGATAGAAATTGCATTTGTGCATCAGAGATGTTAGTAAAGATCAGCTTTTAGTGCAGTGTTATTCCACTTATGCTCTAGAGTCCCACCTAATCCTGAATGTGCTGACACCGGCATGAGCTGTGCAGGAAGACAGAGATCCTGCCTGAAAGGGCTGACAAACTTCATTTAAGGAGTTAGTTTTCAAGAGTTGCTTGAAAGAACTCTCATCTCTCTGCAACACTACTTTATGTACCCAGCTAGAGCTGTGTATTTCTTTATTTCATGTTTTTATTTCTGGGAAGCAGGGCTTGGTCCTTGTGGCATACAGAGGATACCTTGCATTTACCTGTTTCCACCTTGCTTCCCTCCCTCTCCTTCGTCTGCCCCCAGCAGCCCCCAGTGGATCTTCTCAGCTGGGTGCAGGAGGCCCACAGAGACAGGGCACCACGTAAGGAACAAGTATGATATGCAAAGCGGGTGATGCTTGCGGGGATCCAAGCAGTGCGGTCGAGCACGCTTCTGAATTGCCCCTTCCCTGAGTGCCCCACGACCGGGGCTCCATGGGAGCCCGTTAGATGTTCAGGTTCTGTGCACACACGCTTCACCGTGGGGATCTCCCATCTGGAGTGAGGAGGGCTATAAATGGCAATGGCAGAGACTCCACAAAAGTCTTTCTTTCATCTGTAGCACAAAACCTTAGTCATTATGCCTGAGCATAGACGTCTCTGAGATCACAACATGAGGAGAACTGACAAGCTGTGATCCTCTTCAGAATGTCTTTTTGCACAAATCACCCCTAACAGCATCTTTCTAGACTCCCAGAGTGCCCAACATTACTTCTGAAGCAAGGTGATGTCCGAGGAATCCACAGCTTTGAAGAGCCTGCAGTGGTTTTACCATCCTCGTGGCAGTTGCTGTTCTTTGATGTGTCACTATCAACCTCTGTTCCTTCCATTCCCAGTCTCTCCTGAATGTCATCTGCATGATCAAGTACCACATCAGCCAGATTCAGAAGGCTTTCACTGCCTTTCTTTCAATGCCATGAATTGCCCGTTCACTTGGCTGAGGTTACCATAACAATTGTTCCCAAAGGAAAACTGGACCCACCTCACAGCCCAACAGCCTTAGAACTCGCCAGGTAACAAGGACTTGTCACCACAAATAAACCGTGGAATGTAGCTTTTCTGTGTGAAGTTTTAATTACAGTTGGCGAATGTGAGTTTACAGCTGGAGATGAGGCCATGTGTGATATCAGCAGAATAAGATGCCAGTATCAGTCACTGTATCACTGTTTCCAAACAGAATCATTTGGAAATTGCTTCATCATTTTGAGAGGTCTTGGAAAATCCTTTCATCTCTTCCACAGAGTTTTCAGATCATGATGGTTAACAATTACCAACCACATTGTCTTCTCAATTTTAACAGCTAAATCTGTATTTCCACCCGTGCTGTTAAAGGTTGATTTAAACCAGCATATCCAAAGGTAGAATTCTGTTGTCATATCATTTTTGGCTCAGTGTCAAGTTTGTCTTTCAATTAAAAAATTAGTTCTACTATTATTTGATTTCCTAAGGAAACAAGACTTATGCAATTACCTTCACTACATCTGTGTTCTGTATCTGCATTTACATGATTTTGTCTGCCTCTTCAGGCTTTTGCACTTACTGGCCAGTTTCAACCAAATTTTACAGATTTATGGATGTTAAAGTCCTCTCAAGGTTTGTGAAAATAGGCAATCTGGAGTCTGTGAAAAAAGCCCAGACCTAGGTCAAAATGTCTTACCTGCAGTTGATATTCATGCTACCTGATGGTAACTCATTTGTGTCTACACTTGCTGCAGAAACAAACAGTAAAAAATACCACAATCTTTCTCCAAAATCTGCTCCCTGGAGTAGCATGTGAGCTTGGTTACCTTTGGTATAAATCACAAGAAAGTTTGTTCCTGACAGTGAAATTACCCCAGATTTACACTGTCGAAACCGAGAACAAAGACCACCTTTATGTACATTTAGTTACATTTAGTGGCAAGAGTGAAGGGTCCAGTGCAGCAAATTGTTAATCTCAGGATTAAATGCGTTGGTTCCCTTAGGACTGCTGGAATAAGGACTGCCCATGGGAAGGTGTGTGAACCACCAGAGTGATGGAGACAGAACAAGAGCCTGTTCTGGCCCATGCACTGATCTGATTGTTAGCAAAGATTTTCTCACCAAAATAAATTATTGGTACGGGCTAGCATGTAAGAAAGAATTCAAGTCAATATTCAGCTCCCTGAATACTGCAGCACTTGCAGCTATACATAAGAAAATTAGCTTTTCATTTCATTATGATAGTAAAATGCTTGTGAAGGTCTGTGAGACCATGAACTTTCCTCAACACCATTTAAACAGGCACTTTTCAGACTGAATACTGTGTTTTGTGTTCGAACTGTACATTTCATTACTGTAATCATTCAGATATGCTTCTTGCTTTGTAAGATTTTGAGGGAAGAAAAGGGATGCAGTTTTCCTTATTAGCAACTCCTTTTCCTTCTCTCAGTGTCAGGCTTGCTGTGAAGAAGACTGTCAGTTTGTTTTATCACATGCATCCCAAGGCAGCTCCTTTTTTTTTCTCCCTGACTCTCTTGTGTCATCACAACATTCGTGGTCTTGATCTCAGAGCACTTCTTACTGAAGCACATGAATACAGCCTTTCTCTTCTCAACTATTACTGCTGCTTCTGCTGCCCCATTACAGCATCAGTGTCAGTATAAATAATTATATATATTTAACCTTTTACAAAGAATGGAGTCTCCACATTTTTGAAGCACCTCTGAGCCTGGGCAGACAACACTCTCCTTATTTAACAGCATACTGACTTCTCTATCACTAACCTTTGACAATAATGAACTGATTTTCTGTTGGCAAAACTCTCTTTTTCTTATGGGCTTCTTTCACCTTTTCTCCTGATTGTGCCTATGGGCCAGTCTCAAGCCACTTAAGAGAAAGAAGTTTCACTAGAAGAAGACAAATGCAGTGTTAAAGCCATTTCCCTCTTCAACTGCAAATACACCTTTCTTAGATACACCCCCTGCAAAACGATTCCTGTATTACATGCCAGGAGCAAACTCTCCTTTATCCATGGTATATAGCAACCCAGACAAAACCAGAACACCCCTTTTACAGGAGGTGTATTAAGTTGATAAGACCGTATTTATTGTGTTCACTTTGAGAAGCTTGTAAGCAGGAGTAGTTTGAAGCAGAAGGGGTTGAAAGGTCTGGAGGTACTGAGGTGATTGCTGCCTTCTTCATCTCTGATGCTGCCCACTGGAGCATAGGAGGGCATAAGTAACTCACAGCCCACCTGTGGATTAATTGACTGTTTTCCCACTTCCTCAAGAACTTTCCAGTCATACACCTTTCTATAATCTTCTCCATCACTTACACCCTTCTGGCTCCAATTCTGCTTCCAATGTGCCCCTTTCAACTTTTTCCCCATATCATTTCCAATGCCTGCAATGCCTTTCTTCTCCATCTGCCTTTCCCTGCCTTACATCTTCATTGTCTTTTCAGAAAAATTCCTTGCTTGCCACCTTCTGAGGTGTTTGCTAGCGTAAAACAGGTGATGTTCTTTCTGTTGGCTTCAGCAGTGTTTGGGATGGGGCTGTGAAGGATGGTCTTTGGGAAAAGAGTTATGTTATGGATGGACCATGGAACTGGGGATATGGATGGGGATCATTTTGGGACAAAAGACTTTTCTTTCACACAGGTCTTAAAACTTTGGGTCAAAATACTGTTTTGAAACAAAAACCTGAAAAGATTCAGTAAAAATCGTCAAAATGAAAGATTTAGATTTTCAAAAAAAGACACTGCATTGAGGTGGGAGGAAGAGAATGATTCATGAAATTTTATCAGAATCCACAAATAATGTTGGTTTTGACTGGGAGATCCAATTATTTTTTTTTTCCCTATGGCATTCCTTCATGATGCTGGGTATGTTCCTTAGCTTTTTACTGCTCACCTGTGAAATGGTGCTAACAGGGCTTCTCTACCCACTTTTTAAAGTTCATTATTATTTATAGTGCACACTGATAACTCCGAAGAAAGGTAGTTTAAATAGCAAAGTATCTTTGTTACATTAATTCAGAACACTAAACATTTACTTAATTTAATCTACATAAATTAAGGAAGGAAGAAATGATGCGACAAAAAAATAACTCTAGAGACACACTATCCACTTAATCCAACATACTTTCTCCTACGTACATAGCAAAGGGTGAGATATTTCACTTCACAGAGGCAAATTGCTGGAAAGAAGAAAAAGGCATGGTACTATCTGTTAAAAATCTGTTTCCTCTTACCCAAGACATAAATCTCGCTGTTGACTACGGCTGTGCTGAAGCGGTATTTGGAGTACTTCATCGGCGTGCCTTCTGTCCATTTGTCTTGGCCCGGGTCGTACCGAAACGTTCTGTTACTTAATCGATCCGGCTCATCGTCAGGCAGATCCATCTGTATGAAATATGACAGCCATATAATAATACAACATTTGGAGCCCTCTGCACACGCCTGCATGCAATTAATCACAGCAGACAGCTCAGCAGATAAATAACATAAACACATCAATTATAGCTGCAAAGTGATTCATACTCACTAGGGTTTCACAGCACCCATGACTTGTGGCTGGGATACACTGCAGAAGGCAAATGAATAAGAGGGCATCTATATTCTGCAGCGATAAAGCTGAGGATTTGGGTAATAACAATACATTCAAGGCCCCTGCTCTGGCAGAATGTACCTCTTTCACAAGGCTGCTGTAAAGTCCTAATAATAATAGATGGAAAACCATTCTATCTGACACTTTTTTTTTTTTCCTGCTAAAGGTTGAAATCTATCCCCACTGCTACTCAGACTGTACTGTGAGTCTCAGTGAGGTACTTTGCTGGCCTGTCTCACATCTGTATATACACATAACTTATTCTCAAGTCATTTGCACGTTTATTTAGTCAGCCTAACCAAGTAATGTTGTTCAGCTGCTGTAACTTCCCCTTCAGTAGCTTTCATAAAAGCTCCTAACCCCCGCTATATCTTTGCTGCCATAATACTCTTTTTATACTCACTCCTACTCCTCTTGTTCTCTCTAATCTTCTTCCCCTTTCTGTGCCTGTCTCGTATGATGCAGGGAACTCAGATTATGTTTTCTGGGTACAACACCCTTGAATGTAAGCAGTAGGCTGTGGGGGGAGGATCCTGAAATATTTCGGGATGAAAGGTTTCACATAGAGAGAGTGAGAAAGAGAGAACTACTTTGCTTGCTTGTGATGTTGTTATATGTGTTCTTGCTTTGCTTGTTATTTTTCTTTCCCAAAAGACCTTTCCAATACTAATGTCACGGACAAGATAGGAGAAGGCAAACTAGAAAGTAAATATATAGCCCCTTGGTTACTCCCTGTAAGTGCCCAGGGGCATGCTCTTTCTCCATGGTAAGTGTGAAACACCAATTTGTTCGCTGAAAGAGGGGTAAGCTGGGTATTTTCAACACAGAGTAAGCATATACTTAGGAGCAGGCACCATCTGACATGCTGTAAATTCACATCCCACCTCATTTTTGTGGTAACGTTCACCTCAAAGTGCACCCTGTGCTCTTTATGTGCAGGAAACATAACATTCAGCAGCCCTTGTCTCTGTCTCGAGGGTCTGAAACCTTCCTCTCAGCCTCACCAAAGGCTTTCTTCCATTTTACGAGTCCCCAGTTACCAAGGCTGGAGTCGCTTGGGTTTTTAACTCCACTGGCATCAGTGAGGCCAGACCAATGCTGAGCTGGAGCAACGCTGCTGTGTCGAGCCCTTGCCCTCCTAAGCTGTCATTTTATGTCCTGGCTTGACTTTGTCTTGTCTTGTTTCAATTGCAAAGCCTGAGTGGGAAGGGAACATGTATTTATCTCTGTCCTGTAATGGACACATGCGTTTACAGCACTCTATCAATGCGGCGTTGTTAGTGTTTGTTCAGGATTGACAGAACATTCAGTGCTGCTTGAGCACAGGGACAACTCCTGGCTTGACGAACTAATTTGCTTTCCCAGTGCAGCTGTGGTAGCCCCACATATATAATCACTGCATCTGACAGGTGAGTGTGGGAGATACATAGTACCAGACGAATTCATCACTCTGCAGTGCTGGTCTTAAAGCACTTTTTTGAGAGCTTTAGCTGGTTTGCTCTGACCTGTTCTGGTACACCCCGATCTTACAAAGCTATGGGTTTTAATCAATTACTGATAATCTGCTCATCTCAAGCCTATGTACATATAAACTCAGACTCCCATGTGTTGTTACTGGCAGTACTGGTCAGCAGATATCCATTGCAGGTGTTTTTGAGGTGCCTGCATTTTTTAAAAAAAATATTCTTGGCTCAATATTTCTGACTTCTGCTTCTAAACTACTTTTCCCCTTACAATCTGTTCTGGATAACTATTAAGAAAGACAAAGCTGGTTGTCTGATTTCAGCATCTGTCTTTGTGATACAACATATCTTCCAGTTCAAGTTTTTCCCCAGACAGATTGTTCCTACATTAAGTGCTTTCATATTTTAATTCTTTAAATAGTGAGGTATCCTTACTCAGTTGTTTCAGTACCAGAAATGCTGTCTGATCTTTCTGTTGTCTCCTTTGGGTAATCCTGCACTTAAAATATCGAAAGAGGTGGAAATCGTGTTTGCTGAATGCATCTCACTTTTAAATACTTTAAAGAGTAATTTATTTCAAGAGAACACAAACCAATGAGATGTGATGACAGTCTGAACATATTGCTGTCGGCAGTAAGGATTACAGATGCTCTACCTCATTGTCAAGTAAATGTGGGGCTTTATGTTGAATGCTCAAATTTAAACTGCACTGAACAGTAAATAAGAATGGGTGACACTCTAAAAAAGATTTTTCACTCTGGGAGGAACTGGAGAGAGCAAGCACTGTTCCTGAGATCCATCCTCCTTGTAGCATAGTTCTGTCCAGTCCCTGTCCTACTGAATACGGCATCTGTGGCCCTGCTGAAAATTCCCATTAAAACTTCACATGGCCCAGCAATGCAACTGAAACAAATTAATGGACCGATTGAAAGAGTCTGTTTTCCAGAGAATGCTTTGGCTTTTCATTTAAAATATATTATAATGAAAATCAAATAAATGAACTTTAGTTAATCAAGAAAGTTTCCTGAGAAATTGAGATGAACTTTAAATTTCATGTATAAAACTATCCCTGAAATTTACCTCTCCACATGCTTTTCAAAGCAGGGCTCAGTAAAGGGCCCCTGTATGATTTAAATACCTTTATTTACTGATACCTAGAAAAATAAAGAAGATGGTGTATAAGGAAAGGCTGAAACTGATCCATTTTTCACAGCCTGTCATAACAAAAGAAGTGCCAAATACGTACTAAATATCATGCTAATTATTTCAGAGTTTTTTACACAAATAAGGTGTCTAACCCAGTAGCTTTTTCAAATGGAGCTCATGTTGACACGGGAGATGTATTTAATCTCTCGCTCACTGTGCACATCTCTGTGAAATAGCTGCACTTCCTGAAGTTGGTATTTACAGTGAGGATGGCACAAGATGGATATTACTCCTCTTCACTGTGTTTGACTTTCCTCTGAAAGATGTTTAATCAGAAGAATGTGAACAATTTTTTCTTCTATTATCACTGATGTACTATTTCTATGCAAGAATCTCCACAAAATTACTCATCCTATAAAGCAAGCACAGCTCTGCTTGTTAGTAAACAAACAAAACAAAGTAACCGGCACATTTCTTAACCTGTGGTGTCCAACCTCCCAGCACGTAGAGCTTATTCTTCACCGTCACTGCCACATGGCAGGCTAACAGCACTGGAAGAGGCGCCGTGCTTCTCCAGGTGCCTTGCTCCATGGAATACCTCTCCACACAGTTCGTGACCAGAAACTGATTTTTCACTTTCATCTGCCCTCCTATCACATAGAGATCGTTATGGATAGTGCCCAATGCATAGAGTTCACGGAGCTGAGTGGTGCACAGGCTGTGCCAGAACTGGTTTCCTCGTGGGTGGTATCTGTAGGAAAATCCAAAGTTGTAAATGCCCTGGTTCCCTGAGGTCCCATCAGCTTATTACCCCCTTCATCATCCATGTTTATTCAGACAGTAGCACAGTGACAAGAGGAGCTTTCTTCTGCACAGGGAAGTTATAAAATTGAGCCCAATATTTGCAAAATCAGGCATTTTTAGTATGAGGAATCCTAGGCATCCTTTCAAAGATATTTGACCCTAATTAAGGTAAGAAGTCCCTTATTTCTGTATGTGCTGCTCACAGTTTCCACTGAAGTTAGTGGGAAGAGCGAGAGCTTAACACTGCTGAAAATAAGGCCACTGCATCTGTCACAGTATGGATTTACTCCCTTAAGTTTAAGCATCTGTATTTGAAAATGCTGCTACCATTTTCTAATTTCAACTTTAATCCAGAAAATGTCTGGGTTTCTTTAAAATGGGCGCCTCTGAAAAAGACATGAGTAAAACCAGAAAACTATCAATCGTTATCCTTGAATCTCTGAAGTACTATCATAAACATAACAGTGTTTTCTCTGTCTTACTGGATTCCTTGAGTCATTCACTTGACTCGTTTCCCCCTGCTAATGACCTAGGAAAGAGTATCCAAGGAAAATGTTGAGTTTTGAGTAAGGAGAATGTAAAATCCACACACATTGATGTAGGATCCAATCGAACTCATTTACACAGAGATGCCGCTAGAGTAAATCCTCCTTCTTTCAGGAGAAAAGGCATCAGGATTTGGTTGCATGTATATAATTCAGTGTTATGAAGACAAATTGTGACAAATTGATTAGAGTAATCAAAATCTTTGGGAAAACTTTTAAGTAAAGAGTGCTTTATCTAATGGTCTTTTTTTTTTTTTTTCTCCCGAAAAATTATTTGTATTTAAAATTTTTGAATAATTAGGGATTTTCTGACCAAGGGTACACACCTATAAATTTCGATGTTCCTGGTCTTTTGTCTAGACATTTTGGTGGCGCTTGCCTCGCCTGCCACAATAATATCATTTTTCTCAGTGACGACACCAGTGCAAACGCATCCTAAACCCTCTCCATACTTTGGAGATGAAATGAAGTAAGTCTTTTTTGTCACAGGAGCGTAACAAAAACTGGCTTCTGCATAGCTACCGTGTCTTGACCTAATGCCAAGAGAATTGTTGCCGATGCAGAGTAAGAGATCAGTAGTTTCCATGCCGTATCGCAGGCTGAGAGAGGGGTGGATGGATAGTCTGATGGTTTTCAGTGCTTCCTCAAACATATCATTGCATTCTGAGTTGCACAGAATCATTGTGTTCCTCTTCCGGGCTTCCACAAGAAAGGAAGGGCTGACAAGTACCAGTCTCACTTGCTTCAGGAGCTCAATAAGGTGATCTACACGTGACTTTCTGCTGTGCTTGACCCATCTAATGACAAGGTCCAAAATGGTCTCCTCCCTGGAAATATTCAGATCATCTGATTTTATGAGAGTCAACAGCTGCTGGAATTCAATCTCTAATATTTCTTCCTGTAAGCTCACCTCAGCAAAATGCTGGTATAAGTATTTCCTCGCTTGATCACATAAATCTTCTGCCCCAATATGGTTTGCAAAGTAGTAGATGCCCACACAGTTGGAAGCATCCATATGGTCCATCATGTACTTCTGACACATACTGCAAACATCTTTCATCTGTGTGAAGTACGCAGCAAGCGCAACAGTCTGCACATTCTGATTAGTGAGGTGCAGTTCTGCACTGTACATGTAATGGAGTATGACCGACACGCTCTCTGCAGAGATGTCATACAGTACCACTTCTCTTTGCGTGCATTCAACCAGGCCACAGGTAAACATGGCTTTGAAGTAGGGACTGAAGGCAGCCAGCACTACCTTATGGCAGGGGAATTTCTCACCTTCCGCAACTAGGACGACGTCAATTATCTCTGTTGATTCTTTCATTCTCTTTACTTGTTCCAATAAAGTCAAGCTATGCCTCTGCTTTCTTCTCTCCTCCGGCTTATGATCCATGGTTGGTCTCCAAACTTCTTGTTTTTAAATCTCCTCAGAATTCAAGGTCTTCATCAGGAATGTTTCTAAAGGGAGAAGCATGACATAGTCCAATAAGAACAATCTATTAGGCCAATTAATATCTAAAGATAGTAATTCTACAGGGTGTTATATAAATCAGTAAGGCATAAAAAGTATGTAAAATTACAGTGAGGTCTCAGGCTCAAGATCACTGAGACAAAATAAAAATCAAATTTGAAAAGCATGTGGAGAGGTAAATTTCAGGGATAGTTTTATTCAAGTGATCTTCAGTATTCAGTAATCTCCCCCTGAGTTTTGTGATTATTTAAGGAAAATTACAGACAGTCTTTTCCAGCTGCCTTCTCCCTCCTTTCCCTGATTCTCATCCTGAGCCTACTAAAATCAAGAGACAGATTTCCACTGACTTTAATAAACTCTCAGTCAGGCACTTAGTCCCTTGGCTATTCAAGTTTTGTCTCTCACATACACCTGAAGGACATTAGTCCTTGCTTGGATGCTGAAAGTACCCTGTATTTTCAGCAGCTCCATATATTAGCCAGCTACAATGGAGTAGTGCCTTTCAGTGCTCACAGCTCCTCTCAGACTAGGAGTTATGCCTAAGTAGACATCCGAAAAGGATTTTACAAGACTAAATAAGTGGAAAAAACATTAGACTTGCTTCTCTCATTAGTTTTTATAGTGATCTACACCGCTGCAAAGCAGGTGGGAAATAAACCCAGCTCACTGGCATTTTACAGAGCCATAAGGGAATGTGTGGATGTTTTAATACCCTGCCTTGCCACCAGACTTTGCTGCCAGTTTGCAGAACAGTTTTAATTCAAATGCCCTTGCAAAGCAATTAGGAAGCTGCCGCCTCATTACTCCACCAGTGGATTTGACTCTGTCTCATCGTGCCCCGCTTCACCAGCAGCTTTCTCCCCAGGCTTCAGGCTGAGAGAGCCGACACAGTGTTGTAGGCAGAGACAGCTTCCACCCCTGCAGTGTGGTGGCAGAACTGCCAGGAAGCAACTTGGTCTGATTGGCCAGATTCTGTACTCTTTCACACCAAAGTGTAGGTCACTGGGTACTACAGAGTTGCTACTGGTTTGCTTTGGGATAAATAAAGGATTAGTAAACAGGGACCAGCTTTCAAACTGTCCTCCCACTTCTCAGCAGGATGCTTAGGTGCTGCAGATTCACAGAGTTTTGGTTCCATTTACTGTAACCTCAGACGGGATTTTTAATTAAATGGTAATTATAATTCACATACTCACTCTAGTCTTATTCATGGGGAAAACAGAAGGACCTTCATGGTCCTATTTCTGTTTTGGGGGGGGCCTTTAGTGAACCTCTCAGGCTTTCAAATCGGCAAGCTGCAGAATGTGAGGTACAGTGGTAGAGCTGTCAATGGGAGAATGATGTTCACCCATCACTTGGGGGATGCCAGTCCTTAACACACGTTTTGTCTCTAATGTGGTAGTGAGACAGTTCTGCTGTGGAAATGCATTAAGGATTCGTGTCATGAATCACCAATACACAAACAAGTCCTAAGGCTGAGGTATAGCCAAGTTCAAACACATTGTAAACATACTATGATTTGCTTTATGAGACTATTCAAATTAGTAACATTCCTCACCAGCTTAAATATTTGCAGGAGCGGGGTCTTGTACAACAGATTGAACTGTTTTTCTCAAATCCTGGAAGTACAAAGAGTTGTCTGGTTTCATTAAAGAAATATGTATCAACATAAAATAAGAGTATATGAAATTCTTTGAAATCCACCTAAAGGTATTTTCACAAACAGATCAGATTTCTTTACAGTTCTAGATAGATGGATTTTTAAAAAATATTATAGTTATTTCCCAGGTAAAAAGGAAATCTACAGCTATATCATCAAACTCAGACCTACTCTTTTGGCTGTTCAGTTGTTTTTGGAAGTAGTCATCATTCTGGTTTAGCAAATTACATAGATTCCTCACTTTAAGTGCTAAATTAAAAGCTAGGCATGCTTTAAGACTAGCATTTCCTTGATTTTATCAATTCTTTCCATATTCCAAATCTGGAACTAGAAGCAATACATCTGAGAAATGAATCTGGGTTATTACCAGATTTTAAAAATGGATTTGGAAGACAAAACATTAACTTCATAGTCTGAATGTGGGCCAAGCTCTGAGCTCTTCACATGCTACTTTAAAAAATCAATCAAAGGCAGTAAGTTTAGTACAAAAAAATAAAGCAATGGTATTTCCAAAATCTATATATATACGTATTTTATTTTTTTTGCTGGCTACACTGAAATGAAGTACTGCATTTGAGAAAATGTAGGTCTCAATCGTGCATCAACTGCATCTGGAACAGTCTGTACAGTCAGTATAAGCCTTTCATCAGATAAAAAAATGTTCTTTTTTTAAGCCCAGAGGATAATTAGGTGGCCAGTTTATTGTTTACCTCTCTTGCTATTTTATCACCTTGTAATATTTGATCTTCATTGCATTTTGATAAAGGAACCACACCGTATCTCAAAGATCATGTGTTATAAGCACACATATCTTTAAACAGATGAGCTGTAGTGCCTTTAACCAGGTTATTCACCCTGCAACTGGATGAAAGTGTTAATAACTACCAACAAGGCTGCAATCCTGTTTAGCAATCTGACTAACCAGGGTTTTTCCTCCAAAATGATCAACTTCTCTCCTTTCTCTTTTGTGATGTCAGAGCTTCACACATCCTCCAGCTTTTCCATAATGGACAAAATGTGCATTTTTAATGTGAAGAACAAGTGAGATGATTAATCATCATCATCTTTCCCAGACTTTTGCACAGATCAGGAAGAAGCTATGTGTAGAACTGAGTTATGATTTCACTTCCTTTGCTGGTCACCTTTAAGCTTTCTTTCACTGTTAATTTCGCTTTCTTAAGAGGAACAATTTGTCTTTGGTTACAGCGTTCATCAGATTTGTGAATTTTATGTGTTCATTTCCCAGTGGTGAGGGTTTCTGGTACGACATGCTCACAGCCGTTTTCTCCTCTCTTTCGTCGTTAAGACATTAGCATTAGGCATCTTGAAGCACAACGTAGCTCATGCCACTTAGGCACTACTTTAGGCAGGAATTATCTGATGGAGAAGCCCTGCGCCACTGCCCAGATGATGAAGGGCACTGCCTGTCTGCACCCAGTGCAGGGTGGTCTCCTCTACTGCCCGCAAAGATGCTGAGCCAGCCCCTGGGCCTCCTCCCCAGGAGCAGCAGCAGAGCTGCCTCTGGCCTGTGAGGGGTAGGTGGTGCAGCCTCCCCTCTCCTGGAGCCAGTCCATGCCCAGTCATCACCCCGTCCTTGGATTGACTTGTGCAGGCAGTCTCCACCTTGCAGCAGGATCACCTGCAACCCCCCAGGCTCCTCTTGACCCCCCTCGCTGCCTCCCCAGCCAGGGCTACAGGCAGAGCTTGGTTACTTTACGATTTCAAGAAGACAGTATTTGCCTTTCCTTGTAAGAACGCACCTTCCTCATCTTCCATGCTTTGATAGCCACCTTGTCTGAACCTTACTCAATAAAATCGAGCTGTCGACTTGTATGTAAGTCTACTTTCCTACAGCTGAGGAAACTGAAGCTAAAAGGTTAAAAAAAACCCCAGGATTAAAACCCAGGGGTGAAATCCTTTCATTAACTTCAAAAATTCATCCCTGTGCCTTAGCTACAAACTTGTCACTCCCCTCCTGGTTTTTAGTAGTGTTTAGGTGAGGTCATTGGAAGGATATTAATATTCTCCTTTATATCACTGGAAAGACTATTAAAGGGTAATAATGAAACAGTGCTGCTTTGCTTTCCCCTCTGGGTTACAGAGGAAAAAAGATGGTACATTGATATTAAAAGAAAGGATAAATGTGATACAAATATAATTTGCAGTGAGACACTACACTGAGATTGTGCCAGAGGCTGGGTTGTCATTATAAAACCTCCTGTGCAAGACTCAAATCCTTTGTAATGTCACCAGGAGCTGAAATCAGAGTTATTGCCTTATTCAGAGTTTTTGGATATTTTTTTCCTTCTATTGTGAAAAAAAGGATTCAGGTGCAAATCTTCATTTGATGTTATTTTATCTCAGAGTCAGGCTGTTAATTTTCCTCCAATTCTGGCTGCTACTTTAATTTTTATATCAGCTGTTTTGTTAGTCTAATTTCACTTCTTTTTTTGCCTTTGTGTCATGAACCTTACGAAGAGTCATATATAATTTTATGCAGGAGCTACAGCATACGTTTTGCAAGGCAGTAGGGTGCTGCATGAGCAGTTCAAAACATAAATAAGCGCACTGCTGTGAGCTCAGCTCTACAGCTTTTATGAGGCTATCAAACTATAAATAAATGCTGTCCTCATTTCTCAGTTACACTGCAGCCTCTTTGAACTGCCCCAGTGCAAAAGGACTGTAAACCAGATGGAAGTATCTCATCAGGAATTTCCCTTAACCTCTGGGAAAAAAAAAAAAAAAGCTACCTTGTAATCGGAGACGTTATTTTGTCTGTATTTTTGCCTGGGACACAGAATTTTCTTGTCTTTTCCCGCAGTCCCAGGGACTCTCCGCTTTCCCGCGCTGCGGTGGGAGGGTGGGAGCTGCGGGACCCGGCACAGAAGAGGTCACAGCACCCAGCGTGGGGCAGCAGGCTCAGTGTGGGGACACCTCCTGCATCCTCCTCTTCCTCCTCTGCCTTTTTTTTTTCTTTTTTTTTTTTCTTTGCCTTAATGAGGCTGCCCTGTCTTCAGCCTGCCTCCCTTCAGGTGCTGGAAGGCTCAGAGTTCAGTCACATCAAAGAACCGGTGCCTCTGCCTATGAATTATTTGTGCTTCCTTTGTTATCAGTAAGCTGAGAAGCAAATCTGTTAATTGTATGCATTATGACATTTGGCTGACAGCCACAGCGAGGCAGAAATCAGTACCCAGATGATAATAATGTTATAATCTCAGGGTTTAATTATGAAGGCTGTGCTGGCATTTAAGATCAAGATTTTAAACCATGCAAAAGATTCTGCAGTGCTCAAGAAGGCCAAATAATAATGCTAATCTTGCTATAAGGAACAGATATCATAAGAATAAGATATAGAAATAAGTCTTCTAGGGAATTATAAATGTTCCTATATCTGTAAGATAATAGGAACTATTCTCTTAATTCTGATACCTGGAATGATGCTTGAAGAAATTATTACATGATTGAATTATAAGAATTTAGAGGGTAATAAGGTGATAAAAGCAGCTATTGCACCTATTTATCGGGAACAAATTGTGTTAATCCAATCTAATTTTCTTCATTTTTTCAGGGATAATAGGGGATAAATTAGATACTTTGCCTTGAGTGAAGTTACTGATACGGTCCTACATGACATCATTGGAAACAAATTGTGATGAAATCAACAGACTAAATCCACATAAATTAGATGCCCAACTGGCTGAAAAAGCAGATTCAAACAATAGCATTGGTGGTCAGACTGGGAGGCATTTCTAGTCTGTGGAGATCTGTGCTGAAAAGCTCACTCATAGTTTCAGGGAACACTTACTTTCTCGCTTTGACTTAGATACTATTTCTTGAATTAATTTCATCCATGCTGTCCAGATAAAATTTACAAACTTGTGGTAGAGCATTAAGTGGGAGAACATCCGATTCTTTTAGGAAATGTGTGTCTCTATGGTCTGAGAGGGCATACAGGGAAGTGTCTCTGAGAAAAGGTCCTCTGTGACAATTACACATTTCACGTTTGGGTGAGTCTCAAGTATCACCATAACTGCTAGCAGCCGGGCCACCTTCTCTGAAGTTGTCCATGTTCTGTTAGTTGCTAGTTACCTACATATTTAGGATTTTCATGTTTTCAGAGGCATCTAATTAAGTGAAACGTCCAAGTCCTACTTAAACTCACTGTGCAATTTAGGAACTGAAGTGGCTGCATACTTTTAAAAGGTAAAACTTCAGCCGTAAATTGCTCAGGCAGTTTTAAAAGGTTTGCCAGGTGACGTGATCTTCTTCCCATTAAAGCCAGAGGAAGAACTCCCCTTGCTCAGGCCTGTGGGTCCCCCGGGGCCAGGCCAGTGGCAGGTACATTTCAGGTGATCTGAAGTGATTTACTGGTGGCAGGGAAGGAGGAATTTTGAGGTTTTGAAGCTGCGAACACTACAGATCAAGTTATGTCACTGGCCTATATAAAATGAAGTATGACTCCTTCTGAGAGAAATTTTACCTATTTTTCTCCCTCAGCCCCTGTGACACCGTGTTTATTTTCACCTGCCATCTGATACTGAGGAGCCTGAGCCAAGGCAGTCTGAGGTCTCCCGATATCCAGGCATGGGCCAGGTCCTGCTGGATGCGTAGCCATGAGCTAGGCATGCTCCTGGGAGCTTTCTTAGCCAGTTACAGGCTGAAGTGGCGCAAAAGGAGGCTCTCAGTGCAGGAAGACAGGCTGCTGACCTACAGATGTAGACAGCTGTGGCAGCGTTGTGTTGCCCAGTGTGCATCCCTGCGTCCCTGCGGCTGCCAGCAGAGACTGCAGTCGTCCCTGCTCAGGCTGCTACAGACATGGCCTGCCTTTTCTGCAGTAGCTGATTTGCTTTCTATCTCATTTCGTTGCTCTTAATTTAAAGTAAAAATAAAATGGGACTTAACAAGGCTGGGCTAGGAGAAGGTTGATACCTAACAGTGAGGTTTTAAGCAGTCTGCAAAGCTTCAGAAACTGTGTTTGGGAGTATGTTTGACTATTGGAAGGAGACCTGAAGATGCTTTGATCACCTTTTAAAGGCTTTGGGTACTTTATGATTCTGGAAAGATTTGACAGTTTGAGCTCTGTTTACTGCCAAGACAGAGGCCTAGATGTGGGATTGGATTAATATTGATCCTATCTCAGCAAATACCAGGCATATTTTTTTTCTTTAAACTGTTACAGATTCATGAAAAAATCAAAGCAGCTGAAAATGAAAGACCCTGTGGACCATCTTTTCAAATATGCCTTCACCTGACCTTAATCTTGCTCTGATTCAAAGCTCAGTGAAGTCAGTCAAAAGGATCCCATGATTTAAGTAGAAAATGGATGTGGCTCTGTTCACAAACAAATGCCTATAAACAAATCCCAGTCTGAGCCAATTATGTGCATTAATTGCATGAGAAGAATAGAAGCTAAATACATACACACAGAGCCCATTTCTTTTACAGTTCACATGTGCAGATCATTTTTCTTACATATCAAAACTAATTGAAATGGCAAAGTGCTCATTCACAGAAGGAGGATGCACAAGTTTTTTACATATCCAATGACAGATGCCAGCAGAAGGAAAATGTATTTCTAAAACATATTTCAGTGGTTCTTTGAGCAGCCTGGCAAAGGTCTGAGAGGTTTCTCTTTTTTTCATTTATCTAAACATACTGGCAAGTATAGGAAAGGCTTACTTTGTGGAGCAATTCTATCATACAGTGTAAATTGGACTGTATCACAGTTAGAAGGTAGGTAATTTAATAACAGTGCAAACTGGGGTCTATTTGCATTTTTACAACGGAAAAGATTGTGAACTCTAATTGCTAGTATTTACATAAAACTGAAGTATGTATCCGTTTGGTGAGCAAATGCTCGTACGTAAAAGCTTTAATATCCCTGTCACTCCACAGTGAAATTAAAATAAATTGCAAGTTGTAAACCTTTATAACTTTATGTCAGCATTCCATTAGTTACTGCTTGAAACCAGCCTTCCCCATAAATTTCTCTAGTTTCAATTTCAGCCCCTACCAAGCAAATACCTGGGTCTGTCCATACCCACAGAAAAAAAAAAGTTCATAGCATCCCATGGCAACAGTACTGCACCGCCTCCCAACTGGCCCCTGCACTGCCCCCATATTCGGTACCTGCTGAATCTGCAACTCCCCCCGAACCCTCATGTTAAAACCCCCTTGAGTTCAGCCTCTTGACGGTACAGACCAGTCCCAGGCACATACGGACACCATTTGGGGGATGCAAGGGTTTCCTCGAGCTTCCTTACTGGAAGCAAGTGTAGATGTTTGCAGGCGTGTGGAGCATGCAAAGCCCGCCTCCGTGCACAGACCTCAGCCACGGAAATGTCTGGATCTGCAGGATGATCCTCGTTCCACGCTTCTGGCAAACCCCGTAGAGCTGCAAACAGACCCCCAGTTTGATACTGTTCAGAGGTTCCCATCCAAACTTCCTAACTGATCTCTCGCAGTTCCTTCATGAACTGGCCAGCAGGCACCGTAAGGAACCGGGAGGGCTTCACTGCAGGCGCCAGCAGCGGGCCGCCGGCCTCCTGCCCGTGTAGCTGCCCGCGGCTGACCCCGCATCGCCGTCTGTGGGCCCCCTCTCCAGCACCTTTAAGGGTTCCCCAAGACACGTATTCAAGTACCCCTGCCCACGGGTTTCCCACACACCCAGCGACCCAAAGCAGCCCAGCCCTGGCGTTTCCACATCACCCATCCGTCTCACCGCCAAACTCCCTCCTCCTTCCTGCTCTGAGTGGGGAAAGGATTTAAATGTACCTTTCCGACGCTGGGAGCGGCAGGTGTCTGGGAGAGTGTGTGGGAGAGGGAAAGAGAGATCTCGACAGCAGCAGAGAGCTTCTGGTGAAGCACTGAGGTGCCAGGGTTATAAATAGCTCGCGCTGGGCTCCTGGCTGGGACAAGGAGCTGCTTTAATGTCATGCACAGGGGCACATGAGGACGCGGCCGACTGGCACCGGTGCTGCTCTCCTTGCCCCCTGCCCGCATGCTGCCTGCCCCGCACCGGCCAGCTCAGGGCTCCTCTGCGGGGTGTCACAGCCACCGCTTGTGTCAGTGGCCCACCGAAAGAATTATTTTCCCCCCCACAGACCTTGCCATGGACACACAACCAGGCACGTCTCTGTGTCACAGTTATTTCTGGGCAGCTGGAGCGGTTCCAGTGCAGGCGGTGGTCAGATGGGCTCCCACCTACCCCCGAGCTCTGGGGACCAAGCCAGAGGAGATGCTGCTGACCCTGCCCAAGTCACTCTCAAAAACAAGGCCACTGTCTCTACACCTCTCAGTTGAATTTCCCCAAACTGTTTCTCCTGTTCTTGCTAGATCACTAAGAGCTGAAGTTGTACATAAAATAAGGATTCGTGACCGAATATGAGCATTATATCTGTATTTTAATCAGACATAAAGCCTGACTATCATCTTGCTTCTGTTGATGTAAATCAGAAACAGACTCACTAAATTGGTCCAGAATAGTGGGGCTGCACTGATTTACATCAGCTGCAGATCTTGTACTCTGTAAATTAAAGGGGAATAGAGAAGTCCATAACGCACTGTTTATACCTCCATATGTTTAAGCAAAGATGGAAAAAAGAGTAAGCAAAATTTAGGGTGATAAAATTGATTGATGCTGAGCCTATACTTTTAGTTGAGAAAGACATTAAGGGGTTTTCAGAGTGTTCTTTTTTAAATGGCATTAATTTATTTATTTGCTGTACTAATTGGTTGATTGATCATAATAGCTTCTGAGAAAATTGAAAATGAAATGTATTTTCTTACCTAGATTTTTAGTCTGATGGTTTTATTACAGAGTTTTTCCCAAAGCCATAGAGGGATTGTTCAGGAATGTTCATCTGTTAATAGCAATTTGCTGGTTTTAGGGGGAAAATTAAGATGTACGTCATTTTAAAAAGCATATTTCATATAATTTGTGAACAAAACTAGGAAAAAAATCAAAGTAATTAAAGTTTACTCATGTCAGAAAATTTGATAGACCGGATTATGAAGATATATATTGTCTAAACTTCCAGATTGTTCTTAGTAAAAGTTCAGTTTTATCTTAGAAATAAAAATATCCAGTCTGATACTATAGCTTTCACAGAAGCCAAGATGGAACAGTGAACTGATGAAATGCTACAGCTCTGATAAAAATGGACCATATCCCCTAAATTGCCTTCAATGGAAAATGGAAAAATTCATAGCATGGTGATGGTTAACTTGGAGTGTTTATGGTAGTAATTTTACTTATATGAAATCTCTCCACTACCACAATAATAATAATATTTCCTTTATGGGTGTGTTTCTTCAGCTAATTTCTATAATGAGCCTGTTTCACAAAAACACTAACTAATGCTTTTAAGACAAATTCCTTTTTATCGCTCATGAAATTCTGAATATTTCTCTTGCATTTCACTGAATTAACCAGGACACCCCGTCTTGCAGCAGGGTGACTGCTGAGCGGCTCTCAGCTGCACTTTGTAATTACACAAACGGAGTAACACAGCGGTGAATCAGGCCCCTGATATTTTTGCTAGAATTAAAAGCTTTCTCTGCTGTAAGCCAAGCCTGTTTTCACCTTCTTCATGTAATTAAGTCGTAATCCTTTCGTTCTGATATCATTATCTGTTGTCATGGTGATTTTAATTATAAAAATGAATGGCTGAGAAGTGGGAGAAGACTAAAGTTTTTGCTGAACTTTGTTAAGTTAATGGCAAAGGGAAGAATATCAGTGGTAATACAACCAATGGGCCATCTTTTAACACCATGTATTTTAAAACAATGATAAGAAGTAGGTGTCAAGACAGAAGAGACACGTTTGATGCGAATGTGTCAGTGTTTAGGACATATGTGTTGAATTTAATGTCTTAGAACAATTCTTGCATGGTACCAGTCATACAGTACATTCTGGGGTTCCGTGAACAAAGACATTCCCTTCTAAATCTCAACTGCTAGTGATTCACCTATTGGAAAAACACGCTTTTTTTTAGGAAAAACCTCTGACCAGCTTCCAAGAGTGTGTTTGTCTGAGTACAGACTTTGAGAACGGCTACACAACATTTACAGTTCATCCGGAAGCAGAAAACCTGTTTTGAGAGGCAGGTGCATGCAAATTGCCCGTAGGTGAAGCTACGCCAGGGTTTGCAATAAGCAGACCCATAAGCCACAGCCAGTTATAGCTGAACTTCAGAAGAGACCTGCATCAGCTCAGTTAAGCTCTGGGTGGTATCAGGATGTGGTTTTTCTTTGCCACCATGGAAACGTTGCAACCAACATGCTGAATGAATCTCATCTCCTCTGTCACTCTTGCTGTGGTTCTGTAGTTCATTCTCTGCTGAAAAGCACATAGTTTTACACAGATGTGTCTTTTAAACAGTGGCACAACACTGTAGCTCGGAAGAGGAGAGCCTCATGCTTGACTCCGTGCCCACGGGTGACTCCCCAGAATGGTCACGGCTCTTCGCTCCTCTCGCCTCAGCGATTCCCCAGCGCTCCTCAGCCTCTTTTCCTGGAGAGGGAGGCAGCCTCTGATCTGGGGACCAGTACCTTGCGTTTGCTTTCCTTCCCACATGGGAGTAGTTCTGGATGTGTGTTCATCCACTTGGCACCACCTCCAGTCTGGCTGCAGCAGTGACGGCACCGGCTCCGCTCGCTGCCACAGCCTGGGGCAGAGCTCGGGCATCCTCCCGCTGGGGCAGAGCTCGGGCATCCTCCCGCTGCCGCTGGGGCAGAGACCTGCAGCGTGTCAGGCCTGGACGGCAGGTCTGAGCCACATCACACTTAGGTGCTCTACAAGTGCCAGTTATTCTGTTTGTATAATGTTAGGAGCAGTCTGGATACATAGGGAGAGAAAAAACAGAAACAGAGAGATTTCCAGTTTAATCTTACTATCTCTTCTCTTAGGTCAGTCCAATACAACACTGACTTTCTTTTTTTTTCTTAGGGTAAATGTCAACCTTTAGAGCAGACCAAGGGCAATCTTGAGCTCACCTATGACCACCAGTCCGGGCCCAGCACCCCTGCAGTCCCTCTGAATTGAAATCTCTTTCTAGCTCTGTCGACCTTATTCCCAGGTTGCCTGACAGATAATGTGGTGTGCCAGCCACCCGCTGCTTTTTCATTTAAATAAATGAGAAAGTTGTGGCTAAATTAACACTCCAACGGAGGTAATAAGGACCGACTCAGCTGCTGCTATGATGTATGCAAATTGCAGTTTCACACATTAGGAGCTAGATGTTGCTTAATTTGTAGACCTTTCTGTCTTTTAAATGAAAGAGCCTCCATCAAATTCAGGCGATCTTAAAAAAAAAAAGGCAAAAGAAAGCCCCCAAAGTCAACTACTCACCAGTGATTCTAACTGCACTTACAGTCTTTCTTCTGGGGTTTCCCTCCCGATCCCCTGATAAGCAGTTATTATTGGATTATACTGCACTGCTGGATGCTTTTAGGCAAAATATCTTCTGATTTCCAATGAACAGTCAGCCTGATTAAGGAGGTACTGCCAGCCCTTTGGTATTAACAGAAACCTGGAGTTTTTTGCAGTGGTGCCACAATCCAGGAGCTCAACATCCATCGGGTTTTTCCTCTGGAAATGAAACTGTAATAGGGTGAACTGCGATAGCTGCTAGTTAATCAGACAGAAGGAATGGCCTGATAGGAGAGCATTTTTTCTCCTTTTACATCAGTAGAGATGGGAATAGAGATGCAAAGAAGCATGTAACTGGAAGGGGTTTGTGGAAAAGCTGTTCTGTACATTAGTTTTAGTGCTTTTTAATCTCTCTAAGCAAATTATGGATATAACTGTGTTAGGGTCAAAAAGATTTCTAAATGGACACCAAAACTGAAACTCAGGAAGGGAAGTACATACTCAGAATAGCAGAATTTGGGGCCATTATGGCCACAGAAAGTAGAAATAACTCTAATGTTTCTCACAGTATGTTCTGTGAGAAGAAGCAAAATATTAAAAACATTCTAAATCAGATTTTGGCTCACTCAGAAATGCTGAAGCCACAGCATATAAGGCTAAGAAAATGATCAAAACTCACCTGATCTTTTCCAGGTTTTATTCAGAAAGGCAGAGGTTGCATTCTAAAATCCCATTCAAACCTTTTTTTTTTTCCTTTTTTTTTTTTTTCTGTCCTTACTTACATGGTCAGTCAAGAGCTATTGCCACAGGTCTTTGAATGCCTTTGGAGGAGATGCTCTTCCCTCCACTCTGGTCACCAGTTCCTCCATGCTCAGTTCCTGTCCCCAGGTATCATCTTCTTAGCCTTCACTTACCCCTTCCGTACCCTGCAGATACCTTAGAGACCCCTGGCATGCCATTAGCAAAGAAATAGCAGGAACTTGCCCTGTCTAGTCATTATTTGACTGCATGTGTTGAAACAAATTGTCACATGAAAATGCAAGATAAAAAGCCACAATGAATTTGTGGGCAAGAAACACTCAGCCTGTAACCAAAATGCAGGGTCTGAGAGTGCTTCCCAATTCCCAGAAGTCAATTCATACCCGGGCTGGTTTCCAGCTCCCTGCTGAAAGCAGAGCTGGCATACACCTCCTCCCCATCCCTCTTATTCCTTCCTGAGGAAAGGAAACCTGAACGCTCGGGTGGGACGAGAGCTGCAGCCTGCCCTGAAATGAGCTACTGTGGACAGGGATTGAGGGCAAAGCCCCAAAGTGCCTCCATCCGGCTGTTCAGATGCAGCCTTGGCAAACTTGGGTGATTTACTATTTGGGACACCAAAGAAGACCGTAATTCTGGCTGCTGGGACTATATCTCTCACTACATACAAGCCCCGACCACTCTCTTTGGTCTTTGTCCCTCATTGCTAAACCAGAATGACGGTTCTTTCCTACCAGTCAGAGAGATTAATTAGTATTCACTAAGCTGCAGGGCCTGTGTGCCAATTGTGCAAATTAAAAAGGGTA